CTTTCTTTGTGTTTTGCCAGACTTTGTAGTATTTTTTTTAAAGCGGTCTTTAAAAATAGTTCTCCAGAATTTCAGAAAGGGTTTGTTTGGACAGAGGCTGTTTTTTCACTTATTTCTTCAGCATAAAAAAGGTTGAGTATTATATCTAGTTAGAAAGAGCAAATTTTAAATTGTTTGTAGGCAGTTTGTTACAAGCAGCCTGTCACAATATGACCCAATTTGTTCACATTTTGTGAGTTGAATCTATAAAAAATGTCGAGAATAGCACAGTTTGACTGGGAAAAAATAGTATTTTTGTACCAATAGCAGATTCCCAAGAGCCATCAGCCAAAGGCAAGGAAAAAAATCCAGCAAAGACCTAACACAAGACCCGAGAGATGCATCTAGTCCTGAAATGTCTTATAAAATAATAAATCCAACTTTTTCACACCATCAATATGGATACAGGAGGTCAGGAGAAAGGTACAGCAGTGAGCGTCTACTTTATCTGTAAAACACGTTAGAGGCTCTGTCATGGTTTGAGGCTCTGTCATGGTTTGAGGCTGCATTTCAGTCAGCAATGTTAGGGACCTTGTCAAAATTGATCATAATATGAACACAGAAAAGTACGTTTCATTTTTAATCCACCATGCAATACTCTCTGCAGACAATTACAATGATCCCAAACACACTGCCAATGCAGTAAAAGCATACCTGGATAGAAAGACACATAATGGAAGTAGAACACAAAAAGTAGAAACATCCATAAAAGTGATGTGAATGTCATTCAAGAAACCTGGAGAACTATTCCTGAAGACTACCTAAAGAAATGATAAGAAAGCTAGAAGCAAGAAAGAATAAAGATGGCCATACCAAATATTGACTGTTAAGCTTTTAACAACCTCAGTTTTAGGGAACTTTTGAGATGGATACCTCATGAGTAAAACCTCTTTCTCAATGTTCTGAATTAGACAGCGAGCTTAAAGCAAGTTTTCATCAAAACAAGCTGGACACACACTGTGCAGCACATAGACTGTCTACAAAAAGACAGATAAATAATTACCCAGTGTACAGTCCGCATAATCACTTAACACATCTCTGGTCTTACACTGAGGACAGGCTGCTTCACAAGTCACTTTAGATTAGGGCTGGGCCATATCATACCGTTCACGGTAATACCTGTATAATGTTGGGCAAATAAGAAAATGAAATGTCGCGATAGAATATGGGTAAAACGCGCATGCGCAGTGCCTTTGTTTTCATACACACATGGCGGAAAAAGCATGGCGGTGACGGAGAAGGGAGAAGGGAGAAGGGAGAAAGTGGATCGTTGAATGAAACGGATGAACCAGAATTGGTTTGAAAAAATGCTGCAACTTCAGTGGTGTGGAACTGGTTTAGCTTTCGTCCGTCAGATACACAACAAAGCACTATTTTTGGTAGAGCATGCTAGCGGGCCGTCGTTATAACCGTGTTGTTTGGAAAATACAACACACCTAAAATAAATCCTTTGATTTTTCTGAAAATCGACAGTGCCCCTTATAATCCCGTGTGCCTTATGTATGAATTCTCGTTGTGTTTACTGACCTCGAAACTATTTAATTACACGGCGCTCGAAAATCTGTCAAATGTTTTAGTGCGACTCATTAAAAAGCTACAAAGCCGCACCGCTGGATGGATTGTCGGAGCATTACGGCTATCGTAGTCAGGAGCCTCGCGGAGTGATACGTACTGTCCCTCAACATAATGTTACCGTATTGTGTGTGTATAACCTCTTTTTAAGTTTTGTGGATATTATACATGGTTATGCTGAGGATATGTCGGCCAGTTTCCACTGGAAACGCCTTTTGGTTAAACTGTCAGCAAAGAATTTGCATTTGCACTGTTAAATTTTTATATAACTTTAATGCACATAAAAAGCAGCTGCTTGTTTAAGTGAAAATACATTGATTTTTTTTTTTTTTTGCACGAATAAAGTTGTGGAGTTGTAAAGTGTTTTGTCTAGTGTCAATTACATCGTCAGTTATATCGTTATCGCAAATTTTCAAATGTATATCGTGATAAATATTTTTGGTCATATCGCCCTGCTCTACTTTAGATGCACTGGTTGAAAAGTAAATGTTCGCCGAGATTGTAAAAGAAAAAGCACTCCCAGGATTTCAAAACATCACATCTCATTGGTCCTTGTGGAATTTGATGTGACATTTTAATTTATACAGTCACCAATAATTGCCTCACTTGTATGCAGTCATTAAGGACTTGCAAAACCCTGAACTGTTGTCATGTTTCATTTCTAATTAATGACAATTAGCAGACATTTCTCTCGGCACTGCCTCGCCGTGCTGCTTTGGGTTTCTGTTACTAGTGACCAAACCTGGCGGGGGCCTCGATTGGTATCCTGCGAGCGCAATGAGTTGCAGTCGGTGGCATCGTTGGTGGTGTCTGATGTTAGAGCGAGGTTGTCATCCGCACGGTGCCGCAGTTAATAAAAAATGAATGGAGGGAGAAGGGGGAGGAGTCATCAGCTGTTGCTTGAGCTTGAGCTCGAACTCTCGCCTCTCTGGCGGCTGCTCTGCTGCTCCCACTGGGCACCCAGTTTAAACAATCCTGAATCCCACTGCTGCCAGACGCTGCCAGGTTTTATGTAATACAGCCCAACAGCTGTGGGAGTTTTCATGCCATAGTATCAAAACACACGCACGAAAAAGGACGATATTAAAGAACAAAGTCTATAACTGGAAACATACAATAAAAGCACCGCATCTTCCCAGTTTCCAGTAGTTATCTGTTATGAGCTCAGCTTTCACCGGAATGATTAAAAATACACGCTGAACCTTCACATGTGTGTTGATGTAGACCATCAGCAAACACAGTGAAGGCTTTCTTGTTTTGCCACGGTCGAGCACTGGCCCTTTAAGTCTGGCTACGCCTGACTTGAACATATGGGAAGCTAATCTTAGCCCGAGTCCTGAGAGAGAGACAAGGCTGGCAACCAGCCACCGTGCAGGGACTGAGGCAGGTTTCTGTTGCTTTATGTCGTTCTCGCTCTTGAGTCTTAAAAATTAATATTGCAACCCAAAAGCCATTACCAAGCCTCTCAGTCAGTGTTTCACCTGTCAGAAAACACTCTGTCCATCTTTACTGCTGCGTTCTGTTAATGATTACATCACTGTCCAAACAAATCTGACCACTCAGCTCTTTTTCAGCACTTGGCATACAAAAGGCGAGCAGGTAGCGGTACGCAGTGTTCTTTCACAGGTCCAAACCGTTCTGAACTCACTTGTTTTTCATTCATTTCCCTTCACCCTGTTTGTCTCAGGTCCAAAAACTTTCTGATAGCACATTCTGTTCTGCTCATTGATCCTGCTGTTGTTCAAATCCTGAAGCACAAAGAGCTGTCTCTTAAAAACAGCCCCCCCCTTCCTCTTCTTTTTGTGGCTCCACCCTGCTTAACAGCCTCTTACCCGGCACCACCTTTCCCATTTTTTTCCTCCTCTCCTCCTTCGCAAGCCACTCCTCCATTTCTCTTTGTGAGGAATAGCGAGGGGTGGGGTTTGACGGGGGATAGGCGGGTAGGCCTTCCCCCAGCTGGGCAATTCGTGCTGACTTGCACGTGCCAAATGTCAGGAGGTATGACTCAGACTTGATATACACTACGCCGTGGTGCAATCTACACCTAAACATACCCTGAACTTAACACCGTCCTGGCTGAGTGGGGGTTTGGCACGAGTGTGTTTGGACACCAAGCTAAAACAAAGAGAGAAAAACAGCCAAACGGACAGGTGCACAGATGAAATTAGGTGATGCTTGAAAATGAACAATAGGTAAAGAGTCTTGCTCAAGTTACAGTTACAGATGCAGTTACACATACTCAAACAGGCAGTTTTCTCATTACTGTTTTTATGTGTTTTTCAGAAAACCAGTTATGACTAAAAAAAACTAAACCCACACGCTCACGCACACACATGCACACACACACACACACACATGCACACGCACACACATGCACACACACGGATGATCTGATATCGTCGTGTTGGTGTTGTTCCCAGATCATCATGAAAATGTTGTTCCAGGTTCAACATTGCAAGTGACCAATCACATTATTGTGACGTTATTCTTTTGCGCACCAACCCATTCGTGCATTTATGAAATTCCAATGTTGCAAGGACAATATCAATTCTGCTTAGCGTTTATTAAAGGGTTAGGGTCAGGGTCAGGGTCCGTTGATCGGCGGACAAAGGCGGTTTCTCGCAGCTTAAGTACAGTTTTTTGTTTTACGCCGGTTTTTCCCGAAGTCGCAAAAGTATGACATCACAACATTCTGATTGGTCACTTGCAATGTTGATCCTGGAACAACCTTTAGTATGATGATCTGGGAACAACACCAACACGAGGATATCAGATCGTGCCACACACACACATGCGCACGCATTTTGTAAATTGTATTGTAAAAAATGACTAAAGTACACGGAAAGTAGTGTAGTGTTTTGAATCATAAGAGAAGCATTAGAATATACATACAGGACTTATTATGTAAATAAAAGTTCACATAAATTCTCCATATGTTGCTGTATCTGTTCTCTGTCTCTAGATAGAAAGGATACAGAACACATTTAAAAGTCTCCCCTCCAAAATATGTTATGATTACGACGTTGGTGCTAAATATAATGTGCCCTATGGTCTCTGGCCCCTCCCCACCAATAAACCCAGTGACCCTCAGTGGACTGTGTGCATACTAGTGTGTACTCTGTGTGTGTGTGTGTGTGGAGAGAGTGGAGAGAGCTCATTAAAGCATGCCTCTGCATTTGTTGACAGTGTGTGTGCATGCACTGGAGCGTCTGCGTGCATGTGAGCAGTTTGGAGGGGGGGGCGGGAAGTGAAAGATAAAGAGATGTGGAGCAAAAAAAAGGGAGAAAGGGAAGGAGGGGGGGGGTGCACACAGTGTGTCAGATCCGATGACCTTGATGCCATTAGAATGCGGGACAATGTGTGCTGGGGATGGGGGCGCACAGAGGTGGATAGAGGAAATGGAATCAGCTGACAGGAAGTGATGTTAGGAGAGGCAAAGGACCCTTGTGTCATGCTCCTGTGAGTTTGGTCACTGCTGGAAACAAATGTCTTTTTTAAAGCACGTCTAACAGTGAAATCGCAAGAATTCGACTGCCTGAAAAGCAAACATTTTGTTCTCTGTCGGTATGCTTCATTCACGTACACCTCCCACTAGCGAGGTGCTGGCAAAAAAAAAAAAGTAAATTGAAAAGCTCGTTTCACTGTTTGAGGGTTCTGTGTCAGGACTTCGTTGAAAAGAAGAGGATGACTCAAGCTTTACTCATAAGCGAGCACACACACTGCTGAGGATGGACTTTTGTTGTCAGTCATCCCTCCTACAACCTAGACCTTTCCTCCGTGCTGCTGAGAAAAAGAGCGAGAGCCTGAGAATTGAGAGGGAGAGAGAGCGATGAGGGCGTGCAGTAGCTCATCTTGGATGATAAATGTGACTACACCGTGAAATGAAGTGATCGATGAGGATCTTCGTTACCTCTCCTGTGTGTCTCTCAATGCCGAATTACAGGTTTACCGTAAGTGCGATTTCATTTTCACTTAAATGTCAAGCTGCGTGGATTGTTGTTGTCATTTCAAATATCGGGTAACCTCGATGACTCAAAACTTCGCTTAAAGGCACGACTGCCCTGCACTTCTAACGTTCTCTTTCACCACGCTACAGTTGTGCTCACGAGGTGACTTCACACCAGCTCTGTTGAACAAACCTGAATGGCAGCATTGGAATCCACGAATCGCACGCCAGCATCTTAAAGCGACAACGCGCTTTTCTGCCATTGCTGCTTCGCTTCGGTAGATTTCTATTCTTTTTGTCAGAGATGGCCAATCCGATGGTGGTGAAGAAATTTTGAGCAATGTCTTATGTGAAATGACACCGATGTAAGCTGATATGAGTCATCAAAGAGGACATGTGCTTGAATCAAGAGCACTCTTACTGTAAATTACTCGTGCCTTCTGACATGGAGCAAACTGTGTCAGCTTACATGCTGTATTTACAGTGTGGGTGCATCATGTGTCGGAAACAGCTGAATCCCTTCCCTCATGTTGGTGTTTTGGTCAAACAGGGTTTCTTTGTTTTACTCAGCTGTGAACGTGGACAGAGTCAGGCAGAGTTCATGTTTATTAAGTTCTCTTTCATCCTCTTTGCCTCGCTCTCCAAATTTTGGATATAAACTATGGAAGCGCTAACTTCACATAAGACGGGACTATTTAAGGAGCCTGTCGTGTTCGGGAGATGTCTAAGATGAGGAAGTGTGCGTACAGAACAGATTCAGGGGTTAAGCCAAATGCTGAGCGAGAAACGCTGTGTCACTACAGTCGGGGGAGTGAGCGAGTGAACACCAGCCAGCCGGGTGAATAAAAAGAGCGTGCTTTCTGAGCTTCAGTTTTTTTGGTGTGGTTTTGGTGATGGTGGGCATGTGCTCGGGATGACACGCGCCCACCCAGTGGTGGAGGCAAGCGTCCTGGTGGGAGACACCGATGACGATGACGGTGACGGCACAGCTACGTCACCGCCACATGTGTTTCCTACCTCTCTCGCTCACTATACTCTCCCTTCCCACTCATTGGCCCTCCCTGGTCACGTGACCTTAATGCTCTACTTCTCCTTCCCCTTCCTTTTTAGACGGCTCGGGCTGTGTTTCTCTTTGGGATTGACGCTCATCTGCGTGTGTACATATGAAATTGTGCGGCAACAACGAGACAGACCGTGTGTGCAATTTTACAGCGCCAGAGAGCGAGCGCGCGAGAAAAGTGTTGGAACGGTAATGCAATAAGCGATGCTGGATGGAGGCAAAAAAGCTCGGGAAACAAAACAGTAGAGACGAATTGAGAAAGAGAGAGAGAGAGAGAGACAGGCAATGGCAGATTGAAGATGCCAGAGAAAATGAGAGACCAGGAGAGACAGGGAAAGCCAAAGGAAGTGAAGCAGGGAAGGGCTACAGAAGTTAATCCAGCCACAGTGCAGTGTAGCTCACACATGCTCAGTAATATAAGAGAAAAACACTACGCAGGAGCTGACAGCGATCTGCATGAGGGAGACGGCCATAATACCCAACCTCCTCCTCCTCTTCCTGGTTAAATCTTCTCCAAAACTCCAGCAATGTAGGAGCGAAGAGAGGACCGCAGAGCCGGTCAGCCAGAGGCGATGACGGCGTTCATAATGATAATGCCAGTGACAGCAAGGAAAGGCGACAATGGTGAGGAATGGGAGAACGTTGTCACACGCTGGCGGACGGGTAGGACAGAAGCCATCGACGAACTGTGATTAGTCGGCTCCTCGCGGTCTTCATTCGGCAGCAACCTCCTGACCCTTTTTCTGTTTGTGCCACTCTCGTACCTCTGGTTACAGAATCAGTATCACACGAACAGCTGATCAACTCTGCACGTTTCAACTGTGTACTCCACAGATTTCCCTCTTCCTATCTCCACTCTGTTCCTCTTGCTCACCGATGTTGAAGAGTCGTGCCCTTCTCACTCTCCATTGCCCAATCCGGCCGTCTTGCTGCTTTACTCCTGAGTATACAGGTCTTCTTTCGTTTGCTTCCCAACATCTGCAGGAGTGAGCTGACATCATAGAGTGTTGGTGATTTCTTTTAAACCAAGTGACCCTGAGCTTCCTGCAGCCTTCTACTTTGTTCGCGTCCTTTGGATCTTGGATTAAAGGGCCGGCAAGAGCGCCAGCAAGCCTCTCCCTCTCTTGCGAGAGCATCCTAGAGGATCTGTTATCAGTCACAGGTGTAGGTCTGAAGCTTTTCCTGTCACACGAGGAACAGGGAAGCGATGTGAATGCGGACGGGAACGAAAATGGAGATGGAACAACCATCATCGGTGGTTTCTCCTTCGGCCCGCGGTGGAGCCCAATCTAGATGGAGCAAAAATGTCCGCGGAGGAAAAAAAACGGATGTCGTTTACAAACGGCATAAACAAGGAGTGTAATGATGCTTTTCTCTGCTCCCTTTTCTCTCTTTCTTTTTTCCCCCTGTGTTGATGCCATTGCGCGATGAGATTGCGTTTTCGCTTCCAAGCCGCTGGTTTGCCTCTGCGGTCGAAAGCAGAGAAGCTGTGTCACACTCAGAATTGCCAGTATTGGGCTTATGGCGATAAACAAAACACACACACAGACAGAGATAGAGCCTTATATGTAGCATAATCTAATGCAGCAGAGCACATAATGTGGAATGGGTGTGGATAGAGACCGAGAGGGGTTTTCTCACTGGTAAGGAGCTCTGCTGCACTGTTTCCAAGGCTGCTGCTGCTGCTGCTAGCAACTATCCCCCCACCGCTCTCTGTGTTTCTGCTCACTGCGCACTCCTCCATTCCATTCGTACGTGCCCGCTGTGGCTTAGATAATGGCCTCTCGCTCTAAACACACACTGAAAAGCGCGAGAGAGAGAGAGGGGAGAGGAGATGGAGGGAGAGGCTGCGCGAGAGGGAGGGCAATGGAGGGAGGGAAAGAGAGAGGGGAGGAGGAGGAGGGGAGGTGAAGGTGGGGGCTGCGAGGAGAAGCCGACTGCATCTGTAGTGAAGAGAAAGAAAGAGGATATTGAAAAAGGGAAGGGAGGAGCAGACAGAGATAATGAGAAAGGAAAAAGCAGAGAACAGAAAGCGCTGGTCATAAGAATAGGCAAGAGAATGAGAAACGAGTGCGGTGTGCTGGGGGGAGGTGTGCGCTGTGCGTGCGGCTGGCCGTGTGTGAGTGCATTTATGTGTGTGTCACCGCTCGCTCTGTCTGCGCGCCGCCCGGGCTGGGAGAAATAGAAAAAGAAAAAAAAAAAAAAACGAGGAATACAACCCCCCAACAAGGCCAGATCGCTCGTGGACTGCTGCTGCACCGGCAAGCAATTCTCATGCTACTCTCTGTTTCCTCTTCTGCTCCCCACTCTTCGACCGGCAGCCCCGTCTGGACGTCCAGGACGACGTAAGTACGCGTTTGCTGCTGTCCTAGAGGCTCTCAGCCAGCTTCATATTGTCAGGGTCTCTGCTTCATGTTCGGCACGACAGCAAAAAGGGGAAGGGGAGGGGGTGGGAGAAGAAGGAGGAGGATAAGAGGGAGGATGGGTTGGTGTTGGATTTAGGTTCAGCTGTCTACTCACAGGCTCTCGCCACCGCCGCCGCCGCCACCTCTACTATCCTCGCATATTCTGTCTCCTCCCTCCAGTGTCAGGGTTAAAGAGCACCCTCACAAACAAAACTGCACAGGCTTGTCTCGTTTAAAGGGCTCCCAGACTCAAGTGTCTGGTCTACCAGGTTCTACGAGGTCTAAGCCAGTTGGGCTGGTTGGTGTTTTTGGATACACTTTGTGCCGTTTTTGTGTGTCAAGTCTGCACAAGTGTGTTTGTGTGCGACACAGAGAGAATACAACAGGCTATGTCGTGGTGTAAATATTTGCAAAAGCACGTGGTTTGTGCAGTTTGGGCAGCCGGGTAGGTGTGAAGCGGTGCAGGTGTCAGCGCAACATTTCACAATCTGGACTGGTTTTAGATCGACTAAGTTTTGTCAAAAGAGCCTTTAATGTGTGTGTGTGTGTGTGTGCGGTGGAGGAGGGTTTGGGTTTGTTTGGCGTCAAAGCTCAGCGAAGTCCATTTGTTCCGGGTGTTCAGCGTCGAACCCCTCTGACCTTTCTTTTGCTGCGTTTTGTGTGCACAACTGTGAAAAAAGGAGGAAAAGAGAGTGTCAGTGTGTGACTGTGCGTGATTGTGGGTTCATAGGTTATGCAGTCTTGCAGTCACTCTGTTTCAACACACTGCAGTTCTCATAACTGCACGCAGCTACCTCCACCCCCCCTTCCTCTTTCCCATCTGATGCTACTGATAGTAAAAACATGGGGCCTCTCACGTATTGCATGCCGGCTGTTCGCTGCACCCTCCTCTAAAACTCTCCGGTTTCCAAACCCGCTTCACCTCTCACCCATAACACCAGCAACCCCCCCCCTGGGAGCCCCCTGCTAGACACCCAGTACAGAAAGTGAATTCAGAAGGCTTACAGAATGTCCAGTAATTAGCCACTTCAAAGGCTCATTTCAATAATATTCAAATGATGGGGAAGCTGGACATCAGGCTCACTTCTGCTACCGCACACTAATGGATCTACAAACTGAAGCCCTTTTCTTTCTTTCTTTTCTTCTGGTGGGGATGATCTAATACCGGGTGATTCAGATCTACTTACATTATATATTTAAAAGTGTATGCATAAAACAAATAACATCTTTCTCTGCGACATGATCTTCAAGCATCTTCTAGTTTTTTGGGCTCTTTAAACTGAACACAACTGCACAAAGCATGCAGCAGGTGCTACTATTTACAGTAATACAGCCTGCAGACTTCCCTCTGTGTTGTTAGCACATCTAATGTAGTCATATAGTGCCACTGTTTCCCCCTCTCGTGAACCTCTGAGCAAGTTCAAATGCAACAACATGAACTCTGTCAATGATTTCTGAAGCTGCCCTTGGATTATCTTTGTTTGCTTTTCTTCTCTGCTGGATTCATTATAATATAATCTACAAGGAACTAACCTGAAGACTGAATGGATTGTACACTCACTGGTTTTATTTGCAAACCACATCTGGACTTAATGTATTAAGATCACTGAGATTTAGACAAATTTAACAACATAACTTTTGAAAGATCGACACCGCTTTACATTTTGTTCCATTGTTCAAGCAGACTAAAATAAAAAGTTTGAAGATGTATTTCAAGATGAGCAGGTTGGCATTTTGACTTGGAGGAAAAGAGATAACAGTATAGAGCTGCAATCTCTGAAAAAAGGAAGTCAAACTATGAAAAACCTCACAGCCTACAGTCATTTTAGATATGGAGAAACCAGAAATGAAAACTAGTGAATCAAATTCCTGAACTGCTACACTAATGTTTGAAAAGCACATGGTTTATAGCACAAGCCAGTGTCACTACATATATATACATGCTCAGTGATCACGTTTCAACAGTGGAAACACTGAAAGCTTAAAATGAGTAATCATCACACAAAATGTCCCTAAAAATGGCTTGCTCTGACTTGAGATGGATGTCATAGTAACTAATGCAGAAACAATAAAGCACAGATTTAAAACTGCAGCAGTGTTTTAATTGTCCTGTATCTGAGTCGACCCTCTGTACTGTAGCAAGCTGAGAGGGGCAGTCACTTGGGATTCTGGACAGTTTTGTGTCAGAGAAAGCAAAGACTCATGGGACTGTTAATGTTATTGAATTAAAAAAGTGCTTTCATGGGTCAATTTCTGTGCAGTGTTCTGTGCAATATGTGGCCATTAGTAATGCGCATTTACTGTATAAATGATAACTTAAGCTATCCTCCTATAGCTGTGGGGTGCTTGATGCTTGGGAGTGTCTGTAAATTATTGAATTAAACCCAGCCCAGCATCAAATCAACTGTGAAACCTGACTTGGGAAGTATTGTGCCTGCTTAATCTACTAAGCGCGCGTGATCAAGCCAAAAGACCACATGATAACAATCTATAATCTGAATCATAGAACTAATCAATAATCACATGATTAATGTTGCATGTGGTCACTCAGATGGAAAACCTCTTACTTTAAGTGAAGGCTTAAAGTCTGACTCACAAATGTATGAGTTGTCTTTTTGCAGCCTGTTTTCATGAGACCTCTTTGCATCACATTTAAACACACCAGGCAGACTTCACTTTTTTGATGTGCAGGGTTTCTGTTGTGAAGTGTGTCTTTTAACACAAATCACATTCTTTTCCTAAATGTTAACAAGGACTTCTGTTACACTTATCCAATAAGTGGAAGCAAAGATGAAAAGAGAGCGCAACGAAATGAATTAAAGGGACAACAAAGCAGCACACAGTATGAAAGATTCAAATAAGATGCAAAACATGGTCTCCTGATATTCCTGTTCCTGTACATCTCTAGGTGTAGGACATAGGACTGCCACCAAAAGATAGAAGATATATATAGATATAGATAGAAAAGAAGCGGTGACATGGAAGTAGATTGTTTTCAGTTTGCTTCTGCTTTCACTATTTGACCTTCCCCAACTTCCTAAAAATAGAATGGGTCTTTAAATAAGCATTTATCATATGATACATGTGTTCACTGTGAGCATATCCAGTGTGTATTCAAACTAAACGCCAGTGCATACATACAGGGGTTAAAACCCTCTGTGTTGGTGTCATGACAAAATAACTATTGTTCAATCATGAGGTTGTGTTAAAATGTCCCTTCACTCTTGAACAAAGGACACCAGTATTTTGTAAATCCACACTTGGTCAGCAGTTCTCTCAGATAAATCTCATGACTGTACTTTCAACATCCATAGCAGTTTGATCGTTGCTCAGCTTGATTTACATCTACTGATGAGTAGCTGTTAGACAGGAGATTATCTTTAGATATTCAGGCCAATTTGGGTTTACCATTTAAGGTCTTGTTTCAGAGGAAATGAATTTTGGTCTTGTAAAAAAATGAGTCTACAAACCCAGTAAACAGCTGTGCTGCACACATCCAGACACTTAGTATATAAAAGAACTGAAGACATTTCTTGAAGTGAAGGCCATAAGGAATCCACTTCTTCACTATCTGATTTGATTTATTGTTTTATAATTTACATTTATAAATTATAAACATTTACATGTTCTAATTAGGTAATTGTGTTTCTGAAAAGCTACACTAAGCATTTGACTTGTTTCCCTTGTTGGTTTCTTGAGATAAAAGAGTAAAATGCTGATAAGTCCTCAGTGTTTTTTTTTTTTATATATATTTCCAGTAATAAATTATGAAAACAGAGTCCAAGGATGTGGATTTGTACTGCATTTTCTTTTCTCTGTGCTTCCCACATCTGGCTCACAATGTCTCCTAACACCACTGCCTGCTTTGTATAGCCCAGCGGATCTCAAGTAGAATGTCCATTTATAAACAACTGTGGAATTTTGTCACGTGACCTGTGACTTACCAGTTGTAAAATAAGCCCACTGAATATGGGAAGAGTTAATTCAGTTTACACCAGCCTTACTGGTGTGACCCGGAGAAACTTTATGCTATGCATGTGTGAGAGGTGGGTGGCAAACTCTGGATAAGAGCTGGAAAGAAGGGAATGGAGTCCTGGATTACTGGGTTGATACTCATCCAAGGAATGCTGTAATAGTAACTAATGAATGCCATGAGTACATTTAGTAAAGCATAATCTAGTTTAGCACAATTACTATTCTAAAGCCATACCTAATGTGTACGATGTGCATCTGAATCCATTGTTTTTCACATCCTCATTACCTGTGCTCTGTGTTTGTCTTTCAGACTGTTCACAAAGTTACTTCAGTGGATGGCCCCAGAAGTGGAGGCCAGATGGAAATTGGGTCACATGACCGCCTCCAGGAAGGCGCGCTGAGCCTGGAACTGGCCAATGGGGTGAATCAGTACCCTAATGATGGTGAGCCATCTATAGAAACAGAGCAGCAGTGTGCAGAAAGCGTGCTGCCAAGGCAGTGCTGGGTGCCTGGACATGGCAAGGTCAGCAACACCCAACAACAGCAAACGTGTGGCGCAACCCCTGCTGAACCCGTACACCATGCAGACATGGAGGATGCTCACAATCTGGTGGCTTTTTCTGCTATTGCTGGCTCACTGCCTCATTCTTCCTCCTCTTCCTGCCACCTCTTGCAGGCTACTACAGCCTATTTGTATGAGAAGTTTACCCAGGAAACAGGCGCTGGGAAGGCTCAAGCTAGAATCTCTGCAGGGGCTCCCGAGGGTAGCTGCCCACCTTCAGAAGACCTGGAGACCTTACAGAAAGCACTGAGCCAAGCAAAACATGGACACAAGCCTCCCAATTGTGACTGTGATGGGCCTGACTGTCCAGACTACCTTGAATGGCTGGAAAAGAAGATAAAATTAGCAACCAATGAGGATCAAGGCTCCCACAAACTGGTTGATACTCCCTCACATTTACAACCTCGCATAGAGCAACCCCATTTGCTGCATCACTCTCAGACCTACCAACAAGTAAATGGTGGCCACCGTCTGTCTATTTCATGCTCCCAGCAGCAACAGGAAACCCGAGGCCCTCACCCAGATCAAGTGTCCTGCTCCAAACCACCGATTCCTTGCTCGCCACAGGTGCTCTCCATAGCCAAGGAGAAGAACATCAGTCTTCAGACAGCCATCGCCATAGATGCTCTGACACAGTTATCTGGTACTAACCCACAAACTGCCTCTTCCCCAGGTCAAACCCCCTACACAAATAACCTCCATCACCATCAACACAACCAAAACACCGCATCTCAGCCTCTTAATGGCATTGGCATGATCCCATCCTCTTCTGGCACCTACTCATCTTCTTCACGCTCTCAGTCTGTCCCTCCAGGACTACAAACTAGCCAGCAGGCCCTAGAGTCATGTGAGCACCACAGACCCCAATCCCAGGGCCATCCACCCCATGTTACCCCTGTCCAGTCCTCTACCTCTCCCTTCCCGTGTCAGGGAAAACCACCAGGCTTCAACCCGAATCCCCAGCAGTGGCAGCAAGCCTCAGGCACAGGATCTGAACACAGAAATCCATGGATGTGTGTGAAGTCTGAGCCTCAGTCTCACCTTGCCACTGCACCTCATAGTAGCTCAGACCCCATGTCAGAGCTCAAACAGCTGCTTGGTGACACAAGTAGCAAGTTTAGCAAAATTCCTTTTAAGCTTCCAGCTTCGCAACAACTTAGCTTGAACCAGAATGGGACTGTCCAGGCCCAGGATAACCCGGCATTGGTCAGGATAAAACAAGAGTCAGACTCTGCTGACCACTATCATCACCCTGCCTCCATGGGACATTATGGTATGGCTAATGGTCAGCACCAGGGTCAGCACTACCCTGGCACTCCCATCTCTCCTGGCCAAGCAGCCATTAGCCACTCCACTCAGGCAGCTCTACAACAGCACCTTCACTACAAGAGGAATCTTTTCTCAAACCACCCCTCTGGCTTTGGAGGCGTTGGCCCACGTGGGCCTCTGGCTTGCCAAAATTTGAAAAAATGGTGGCCACAGATGGATGCAGAAGCCCTGTCACATCTGGCCATCAAACAGGAACCCAAGAGGAAAAAAATCAGCCAAGGATCTCCTGGTCTTAAAGCTATGACTGAGACGTTTTTGGGTCCTCCCCTCCCCAAACCCAAACAGATAATCATCAAGAAGCCCAAACAGAAAGCCTCCATGCCAACCTTTCTGCCTCAGACTCAGATCAGCATACAGAAACCACCGGTCCACATGATGGACAGATCCGCACCCCTGGCCAAACTGCAACTAGGTCCACTCGACCAACTTCCCCTCCACAGTAACTTCACTCAGGCTGCTGCTGCTGCAGGCCTCCCTGCCCCAGCCCAATCTCAGGTATCCATTTTCAATTCCTCAATGACACCCACTTCCACTGTTTCTGTTCCATCAGAAAACACTCCAGCCCAGCTGGGCCCTATACTCCCACCTGTGGGCCTTGCAGCTCACAATAAGTCAGAAGAGATGGGCAGCCTGGCCTCCAGTAATACCAGCACCATGACACCTATGACCTCCACATCCTCACCCAGCACCTCAAATGTACCAAGCGTCTTTAACTTGGACCCGAAGTACGAAGAGTTGATCCGCCAGTTTGAGGCTGAATTTGGGGACTCAGTTCCAGACATATCTGCCAGTCAGCCCGTGGAGGAGACTGCCACAGCCCCAAAGTCAGGGAATGAATCCCTGAGCAGTCCTCAGGACCTCAGTCCTGCATCATCATCCACCTCCCAGCCACTTCCCTTAATTTCCACAAGTCAACCCACCCCCACACCTCATCGAGATCATCAGATGGGAATGAGCAAAGATGAGTCCAGGACCCAAAGTGAGGCATCCTTGAGCCAGGCATCTACAGAACGCCCTATGGAGATGCAGCACAGGGAGTCTGTTCAAGTTCCTCTGAAACAGGAAGATATAGTGGAGAGGCAGCAGCAGTCCAGAGTGGTGCAGGATACTTTTAGCATGCCAGCTTCTCCGCTGTCAAAACGAATGAAAATTGAATCCTCGGGTGATATAACAGTATTGTCCACCACCTGCTTTTCTGAGGAGGACACACCAACTAAGGAAGGTGTGCCCTCTTCTCCATCTCTCAAAGGCTTCCTGGACTCTCCTTTACGCTATCTTGACACACCCACTAAGAGCTTGCTAAGTACTCCTTCCAAGGATCTTCAGGCAGAGTTTCCCACCTGCACCTGCGTGGGTAAGTTTTTGCATCAGTCTCAGCCTCTGCTTATGGTCACACAGCTTACTTTCCATCCACAAAGTGCATTTCAGACACAAATTAGAAATAGTCTAACAATAATCAGTCTTCTGCAAACATTACTTATTAATCTCTGACTAGAGATCAATTTGAGTCTTTGTCAATTCGAGCACATTTCTTGTCTTTGGAAATGTTTTATTCCTCCACTAAAATAATCCGCATATTATGTGGCCATTGTAAGCGTTTCACTTTGCTTATTGATCTAAACAGATTGACTTTTAGATTTTTTCACCCCTTTCCCGACCCAGTTCTTTCTGGTTTTCTGGTTGGTTGCAGCTAAGAAAGAATGTGCAAGTTGCCAGGGTGCGTGGTAGTGACCATCTAGACTGTGACAGTGAGGGGCAATAAAGGCAACATGCAGGAACAATAGCAGTGGTGGCAGAAGGACTCTTTTGTGTGGGTTTGGGTCTTGCAAGCAAGCAGAACAGAGCCTTTGTTAGACAGAATGGAGTTCAGTCCCATAGTTTGGGTAGCACCCTGCTTAGGGAAGCCTATTTATTTACAACCAAGTAGGTGGTCCTACAGTTGAAATGTTTCATTTAAAGACATTTTATGCTGGAGATTTAATTTGTTAGACTACACTCACATTATTCTAATGCATAGTGTCTCAGTAAGTCATTAATTAACAACTCAGTAAATCTGAATATTGCTGCGTTAGCTAATGTGGATAATAGTTTATTAACTCGACACACAAACCAAATAACGAGAGACTGTGTTCTCAGACAGGCTAAGAAATGACAACCTGTTTCTTGGAGTTACTGTGTACCAGTTGCCCACATTGATTTTATCACCCAGTCAACACTTGTCACTGTATGATGGCAAAACTATACCATAGACAGATAGATGTTGTCACTGTTTCCGCCTACAACAGCAAGGCAAAAAATCATTTTTGTGATATAAGCATAATACAGAAAGCTTTTTTTACTGCAACATTTGATTGACAACTTTGATTAAAAATCTGTTTTGATCTAACAGCCACACAACAGCCACTCGATGTACACAGACTAGTTTTAGGACTCCCATTTTTCAAACAAATATAAATATGTTTATGTTATTTACGCATATGCATGTGTAATTTATGGAATCTTTTGTATTGCACGTACATTGTATTGCATGCATTGCACAGCCTTTTATGCCTGTTGTGTGACTGACTCAGAAAGCCCAAGAAGTGTATCCAGGGGTTAGGTTGGCTGGTCGGACGACTTGTTTTACAACCAAGACTAGACGTGGAGAAAACGGGTAAACTGACAGTTATTCAGCTGTCAGCTTGCTGGGTGTGGATTTGGGATGGATTAAGGCCTGGTCCATAAAATTGTGTTGCATCTGAGCACTAAAAGGAGTGCACAGCAGTGGGAAGAGCAACGTCAATGACACACACTTGCTAACCATGTGGTGTTACTAGGGGTAAAGACCAACAAACAACAAACCTTCATAATTATGTTACACATTTCCTTTTCTAAGCAGTATAGCATAACACTGCATAGGAATGGGTTGTTTTTAACACAGACAGGATACAGTATATACATACACACACACATTTTTTTTCTTTGCACATAAATGGACTATGACTACTCCATTTCCTGCCATGAACCACACCCTGGAGCCTCCTTTCACCAGCAGCAGAATGTGACCTCATGTTGCCTCTGGACACAACCACACACACATACAAACACAACACACACACAGAGTGGAAGACCGCATTTCAGATAGTCATCTGATAGTGTGGAGCGCATTAAGGGCATTTTTGGTAACGTTGTCATCCACAGTTGTACTTTAGAAATGATACAAGAGCAAGAACAACACAATGTTAGTTTAACAACCCACAGTTAGCTGATAAAGCTGGGCAATGTGAAATTCCTCGAGGCCGTCATACCATTAATCTGCACAGTATCTCATAGAAAATGTAACACTGAAGTCATAGGGTGTGGTTTAAAACCATAGGTTTTGTGCAGGGGAATGGTCAAATGCTCACACATACTCATGCACAACATCACCTCAGATGTACACAAAACACACACACTAACACTCCCTCTAAACATCCCTACATACTGAGTCACACACTACCTCAAAAAGCTTCTGCTTCACCATGTTTTGCTCCCCACACCACTCCCTGTGTGTGTGCGTTCATGTGTGTGAACGTGTGTTTGAACTGGATGTCGCAATGAGCTCTACTTTCACATGCTTCTCATAGAAGATCTGGCTTTACCTACAAAGAAAATATCTTTGAGTTTCGCCAGAAATACATCAAAGCACATCCGCTGTACCTTTGTCCTTTTACAAAACACTACAACATGTGAGAACATGCAAGGCCACGCTGTACTTTTCAAGTCTTCTCTGTGTGCAATTTAAGTGACACTCAGATCCAAGAGTTTGTTCAGTAGGAATTGGGGCTTAGATGTAAAATTTCTGGTCAATGTGAAAGGCAAAAATGTTTTTAAAACCAAAGATTCAAATTCAAAAGAGAAACTGTTTTAAATAGGCTGATGTTAGGGGACATTACCACCAAAGCTATAGATTTGAACAGCAGTGACTATATTACCCAATCTTGTTCTGATTCTGTGTTGAATTCATACTGTAGTGGAATCACTGATGCACTGTAAAAATCCAGTGTTTATTGTCAATTGATGATGCAAGATGTCATTTTTTCAGATAAAATGTTGTGTTCTTACTCTGTACTGTCTTCCCCCCCAGAGCACATAATTGAAAAAGATGAAGGGCCCTACTACAATCACTTGGGATCTGGACCTACTGTAACTTCCATACGAACCCTGATGGAGACAAGGTATATTCTCTCCTCT